CCCAACAAAATGGGCAATCTAAGCAAAAAAAGGCTTATAAAAAAAGAATGAGTGAGTTGGAGAGAATGGAAAATGAAAAGAGGTGCTAGGATGAAAACCTGAAGAGGCTCCTAGGCAAAATGAGAGATATGAGAGAAACGTTTGTTCTTGCAGGCACTCATTATATCCTTATGAAGAATATGAAGATTCAAGATAAAGAAGAAGAGAGGAGGAGAAAAGAAGACAACACTAGGAGGCCATTAAACCCAAGATGCTCTTTTGTAATTTGAGTTCAAAACTCATTTTTCTTTGTAAATCCTTGGTGGTCTTTGTGTTTGTATTATGTTTTTGTTGAACTGTGGAACTTTTGGACAAACATTGACACTTGTAAACATTTGATCTTACTCGAGACGAGTAAAGGTTTAAGTGTGGGGGAGTTGATACGTTCGTAATTTCCATTTCTATGTATATGTTTTTAATTAGTTTTGCTTGACTTTTACTTTGGAAATTACACACTTTTGGTGTAATAGATTAGATTGTTAAATTCTTGTAAATAGGTTAGATTAGATATATTCTGAGCTTAAGCAGGTTTGGTCACCCAAAGTACAGTTGGTGAACCCAAAAAGTGAAGAGAAGGTGCAAAATTTCAAAGACAAAAGAAGATGCTAAATTTTGGTCTATACTCGGTCGAGTATTAGCTATACTCGATCGGGTATTAGGTTGGAACTTCAAATCGGATCAGATCCGAAGACAAAGGAACATGCAGGGAAGATTTTGGCCACGATTCTATGTCTATACCCGATCGGGTAGACCGACATACCCGATCGGGTATGCCTTTAAATTGCAAACGAAGATCGGTCGAGTATAGCCCGAATACCACTTTCTAAGCATACTCGACCGGGTATTCATATATACTCGATCGGGTATACACTTAGAAAATAGCCTGAAACCGGTCGAGTATACCTCGGATCGGGTGTTACACACATACTCGATCGGGTACCATGTATATACCCGATCGAGTACCCGAATCCCATCCCAAAAACCTATAAATACACCTCCTTTCCTTCACAAAAAGATATCCAATCCCTTGTACATCTAAGCTCAGTATAGAATAGCTCTTTCTTTATATTTTTCATCATGTTTAGTCTCCAAATGAGGAGCTAAACTCTTCCATCTTGGTTTTGCTACTTTGAAGCTTAATGAATTTGTAAGTTGTGAGTTATTTTCTTTAATCTTCTTCCTTGAATATTAATTCTTTCTTTCAAAATACTATCTCTATATCAAAGTTGGGGAGTGTTACTAAGATGACAATTAGTTAACATCTTGACATTGGTTATAGTAATAGCTATTTCTTCCTCTATGATAATATTGGGGAGTGTTACTAAGATGACAATTAGTTAACATCTTGATATTAATCATAGTAGGATTCATATATTTTAATATTCTTCCTTGAGTATTGATTAATTCCTATTCATATTTCATGTTAATATCTTAAACATTACTTAAAGTATCAACTAGTATTGTTTCTCATATTAATTATTACTAGAATCAATCGGTTAATACGCTTGTTATTAATCCGGTTCTTTCAACGGTAGTAAACTTGGAATATTAATGCATGCATCTCATGGTTGATATGCCAAGGGGAATTAATTATATTGATTAAACCAATAAACCGCTTGTGTTGAGGTTATCAATCTCAATCGTTTTCATCTTAAGTTTATTGCTACTATCAAGTTAATGTACGGCGCTTGTTCTATATTGACTCGATAGTAAGTTTTATTAATGAACGCATCTCGTTATTAATAACTACCCTCGATGAACTGGATATACTCCTCGATTGAGTATTCGAGAGGAAGATAGTTAAAGATATAACCGGGATCGACGAACATTTCATTAAGTGGATAAAAGCAAAACCAAGTCCCCATCTCATTGAATTAAACTCATATAGGTCGTTTATCTTAGTGTTATTAAACCAAACAAATCTAAACCCCCCTTGTTATTATTTATATAAAAGAAAAAGTATTCCTTTCCCTGTGGATACGAACCTTACTACACTATACTACGTATTAGTGTTGTATTGATTATTTATTTTGAGTGCACCTAACGACGAGTGCACGTCAGATTAGGAGACACAAAACTGTGCCCTATACTCCCCAACATAATGGTTTGGCTGAAAGAATGAATAGGACCCTCCTAGATAAGGTTAGGAGTATGTTAGCCACTTCTGGTCTCCCTAAGAAGTTTTGGGGAGAGGCTGTGAACACTGCAGCCTACCTGATAAACAGATCTCCCTCTGTACCTTTAGAAGGTAAGTGTCCCGAGTCTGTCTTCTCTAAGAAACCCCTTGACTTGTCAAACTTAAAAGTGTTTGGATGTGCTGCCTATGTACACTAACAGACTGACAAACTTGACCCTAGGTCTAAGAAATGCATTTTCTTAGGTTATCCTGAAGGTGTTAAAGGATATAGAGTTTGGGATAGGAATCAGACTGGTTTTAAAGTTATAATCAGTAGAAATGTTGTTTCTAATGAAACTGATTTTCCATGCTTAGTTAAAACTGTGACTGATCCTGAAAGTGAACCTAAAGACACCCCTCCAAGTGAGGTGGAGCCTGTCCAAACTGCTACTACACCTCTGTTCAATGAATTTGAACATTCTGATAATCTTGACCCTTTCAACACTATGCATGTAACCCCCTCCACCTCCATTGAGGTGGAGCAGTCCACTGAATCTGGTAATAGTAATGAAGGTTTGCATGATGTGATTGTTCAATCTGATTTTGCTGATAATGATGAACTTGGTGAAATCCAAGTTGAGAATGACAGTCTAGATGATTATGTGTTAGCCAGAGATAGGACTGGAAGAAACATAAAGAAGATTTCTGATAGCATGACTGACTATGCTTTTCACCTCTATGATACTTCTTTATTTGCATTCTCTGTTTTTGAAACTCTTGAGTTGAATGAGCCTAAAACCTACCAGGAAGACCTTGCCTCTAGAGAATCTAAAAATTGGCTTAGTGCTATGCAAAGTGAAATAGATTCTCTTAAGTTGAATAAAACCTGGACCCTAGTTCCTAGGACTCCTAATTATTCTGTTGTTGAGTGCAAATGGCTTTTCAAAGTTAAAGAAGAACCTAACAACATTAGGTTTAAGGCTAGGTTAGTGTCTAAAGGTTTCACTCAAAAGGAAGGGGTAGACTATGCTCAAATTTTTGCTCCCGTAGTAAAATTCACCACAATTAGGATGATGCTTGCCCTAGTTGTCCATAATGACTGGGAGATGAAGCAGATGGATGTTACCACTGCTTTCTGCATGGTGAATTAGATAAACAGATTTTCATGACCCAACCTGAGGGTTTTGTTGACCCTAGATACCCTAGACATGTCTGTCTACTTAGGAAGGCCCTCTATGGCCTGAAACAATCTCCCAGACAGTGGAATATAAAGTTTGACCAGTGTATGTCTTCCCTGAGTTTCAAAAGGTCTGATTCTGACCCTTGTTTGTATTTTAAGAATACTGCCTCTGTACATGTTTTCTTGTTGATCTATGTTGATGACATGCTTAATTATCATTAGCCCCTCTGTGAATGCTATTAAGATTGTTCAAAAGTGCCTTTGTGAAAACTTTGCTATGAAAGACCTTGGAGATGCTAAGAGAATCCTAGGGATTAATATACTTAGGGATAGGAGTAGGTGTACCCTTACCCTGAACCAAACCTCCTATTTAGAAAAGGTCTTGAAAAAGTTCAATCTTGACTCTACCCAGCCTGTGAATGTTCCTTTAGCACCCCATTTTGTGCTAAGCAAGGACCAGTCCCCAAGGACTGCTCCTGAGATAGATAGGATGAAGGTTATACCCTATTCCAGTGCTATAGGTCAGTCATGTATCTCATGGTAAGCACAAGGCCTGATATAGCTTATGCTGTTAGCTGCTTAAGTAGATATATGGCAAACCCTGGTATGTCTCACTGGACTGCCCTTAAATGGCTCTTTAGATATCTTAGGGGTACATCTTCTCATCGTCTTCCCTGGTTGTAACTCTGGTGGTGAGTGTGAGCAAGCCTTTGGGCTTTGTGGTGATTGAGGTCTGAGCCGGTCCAGATTTCCAACAATGACAAAAGAGAGGAGGGGAGAACTAACCCGTTTGGGCCATGGCTGAGAGACCCTTGAGGTCGGGTGCATCTAAAAGGTAACACGTGGCTTGTTCAGGATGTTGAGGATACGAGACCGGACCAGACTTCGATAGTTGTAAAATACACATAGACCAACATTTACGAGACAAAATCAAATCAGACTTAAACAAAACAGGCCAAAGAATAGAACCATTTGATTTTGTTAAATAAAACATTTGCAAGGTTGGTCTGGTAAATTAGTAAAACCCGTAATGTATCCGTGAGATTTCTAACGGTCCGGTTCTAAGGATGGAATCATTTGGTACCATATCGTTTAGGAACAGTACAAAACGGTCCGGTACAATATAATGTCAATCACATACTTAAAAATTTGAACAAATCTTGCAATTAGTAGATACCATCACACCAACCAATTCACATGAAATACTCATAAAAATAGAAGAAATTGCATATGCAGTACTAAAATTATCAAATACACAAATAATACAACAACACAACTAAGAAAAAGTATAGCAAAATGATGATACACGAGATAAATATCATCCCATTTAAAGGCCTCCTCCAGTCCTAGCTAGCTCCCTAGAGCCCGAGGGAATTGATATTATGGTGGCTTAGTGGGTAACATTACTATATGCCGCTTCTTGTGCATCAATTGGTCGTGAGACTCATCATCATCAACCAGGCATCAACCACTATATATATTGCAAACCTTTATGTAATACTCCGTATATATACTTCCTCATTTTCTAATTTTCCTTTTTTTGTCTGATATTATATTTGACAATATTTGTGTGATTCTAATCGATTTTTATTATATTCATGTTTTATCAAGTCAACGTCATTACATCAAGTATTCACCATCAACGTCATTTATATCATCGAACAAGAGAAACATAAACCGCTAAAATACAATATTTAAAACTAAGAAGTTATACTTAAATTGCGCTTGCTTTTCTATAGTAATATTTGAAATGGAAATACAATATATATGCATAGGATTGTGATAACAATAACTTAAGTTTGAACCTAATGTTTATTCTGACACCATTTTTAAATTCATATCATTGAATTTAAATAAAATGGTAGAAACTGGTACTTTAGAAATAAACATGTGAAGCAAGCTAAGCAATATTGTGATTTTTTACAGGAGAGATGGAATTTACTAGTCGAGCTGAATGTGAGTATCGTATGCAAGACCGGCCTGCCATTCCGCCGGAAGCACGTCGGGAATCTCCACCCACTTGGTGGCTCCGTACAAGCTTGTTTGGAATCGGAAAGAAAGTGGCCTATTTCGCGGTGGGTTTTGGTGGTCAAAAACTCCTCCATATACCCTTCTCATGTTGCTCCACTCCTTGTAATCTGTCTGCATCATCATCATATATACGGGTATTTATATATAATTTCACAATAAATTCACATAAGTAAAACTAATTTATCATCCCCTTCGATTGAAATTTTATAGTTTGGTTTAAATTGGTATCATCTTTTTAATCAAGTCCTGTTTGATCAAATTTAATTTATTCGAGTAGTCTTATCTTTTCTGAACTGGTCTAAATTAGTCTGGTAAGATTGATATTATTTATGTTTTTAGTTGTCGAATTTTAATTTGATTTGATTTGAACCGATCTTTTTAATCTTATACTGATTTGATCTAATCTGATCCGACCTCAAACTAAATTATGACCAAGTGAAAACACATTTAGTAGTACCACATGTGTTTCACTTGGTGCTTTAAATATTACATGAAACCAGACTAACACATACTACCTTCGTTCCTATTATAACTTCCAAATAGGTTTGACACACAATTTAAGATAATGGGTATTGTATGGTGGAGAGTTGTGCAGAGAAGAGAGAAATCTGTAAGAAATGTTGTGAACCACAAATTCTTTATCAAAAAGGGAAAGTGGAAGTTTTAATCGGAACGGACGAAAAAAGAAAGTTGGAAGTTATTATAGGAACGGAGGGAGTATAATAATGTACCGTATCTTCCCCGACCACATCAAACAATTTTAGACTTAAACATGTCAATCCAAACTAGATTATATTCAAATAGAATTAATAGATCATGTTCATATTTGGTAGGCAAAAGTCTCTATCTTCTAGTTTTTGTACTATTTAAAAAGTCTTTAAAAGCTTCTAGATGTATGTTTGGCATGACAATTTTTAAGAGTTTTTTTCATAATAAAAGATATTTTTTGAGAACTGAAGCTAGAGTGGGTAGTATCTAGGAGAAAGTCTGCAACTTTTACCATTAGTTAGTCACAACAACTTATAAACCAAATAAAACTAAATCAAACAGTTAGCTTTTTATCAAACAACTACAACATTTTCCTTTTAAAATCTTTTTAGTCATCACTAAAAGATAATAGTTATAATATGCTCACAAAAGTATATTTTCATCTAATAGTGTCAAACATACCCCATATCAAATCAAACCTAATCAGACAAAACTACAACCTAAATATTGCAACCCTAAGTGATACCATTCAATGTTTATCGCGTAACACTATCACACTACTTGCTGTGGCAATGGGTTGTTAACTTGTTATATAGAGCTTCACAATCTCATCTCATCCAGGGGTGGAGACAGGGGAGGCTAGAGGGGGCCTCAACCTTCCAAAAAAATGGTGATGTATATACATATGTATAAATATTTATAGACACTAAAAAACACAATGAAATTTTAAATTTTGATGCCCACAACATAAATTCTTTACACCCGGCTCCCCTGACCTACCATTTCTTCTCCGCCACTAATCCCATCCCCATTATGATTGCACAAGACATAATACCTAGAAGGAGATTCTTATAATGTTATTGTACCTGCCAAATTTGGGCTGCAATAATATCAGATAACCCACTTTGGTAGATTGGTATAATGGCAATGTAATTGGGGAAACTGCTTTTCTCATGAACTTGGATCATCAGATTGTAGCCATTGTAACGGCAGGGAATCCTCCGGTATTCAACGTCGACCACGCCAAATTCCAAGAGCTGATTCGCCGTTCCCGGAACCGCCATTTCTGAGTAGGCGCTAACGCTGAGGATAAAACCTGTTCTGTCTCCTTCACCGTAGTCAGTCACAACTATTTTTGTACCTTCATTGTTGCAATGTGTTGGAATCTTGCACCTAACCTGTTTAACAAGTTAGAGTACAATGAACTTTTAAAGTTACAAAATTGACATAAATAGGGCTAAAAATGTGGAATTCCAAAATAAGAATGCTACATTTTTAAGTTACGTTTTGTTTCAGTAATTTTAGTTTGATTGTTATTTCAAATCGTTTTTTTTTGTACAAGGAAAAGAATATCATTAATATTATATATTTATATGAATTAATGAATAGAAAAAGAGAAAGATGATCGACCTCATAGCACGCACCGCAACCAGTTCCATTCATGTAAAGCCGGGAGACACCACTCACTTTGCCATCATTCACATACTGCCCGTACTCACCAAACCCGCACGCTCCACCTTCAAATTCATTTCCAATTAATTGAACTATTAATGAGCATTATTGAATTACTACATATATCTTTTCGAATTGTTTTTGAATTTAAAATCACATATATATTTATATATATATATATATATATATATATATATATATATATAACTCATCATTAGGAAAATTGTTGTTAAATTACTAAACTTATGCGTTTTTATTCAAATATAAGAGATTCAATTCCCAAGCAGAACTGACCATAATTTCCTACTTTTTATTTATTGTACTATTTAAAAGAAGTTTTGCTAGAGGTACCCCAAAGTGTACCTCATTTTTAACTCAATCTCTAATGTGTGGTCATAAATGGGTCAATTCATTCAAGTGGTGTCTCATTTAAATGAATTGTCTCATTTATGGACACACATTAGGGAGTGGAGGTAAAAATGTGATATATTTTGAGGTATCTTTAGCATTTGTGATTTAAAAGGTAAGCTATACGTTTCATAGAAATGCCCTATATATATAAACTTTAAATTTTATGCACTCTTTTGTGTAAAAACTCACAAGTTGAGGTGGATTAACAGCGAATTAAATTATATCAAACTATACCATTACTTATGAGATTGTTAAGATTTAAAAGTAGAGTTAAGCTCTCTTCTAGGTGAGCCCACCTATGTACTCACTTCTTTCCTTTTCTGGATGTCTAAAAATTAAACTCTCAGTTTAACTTCTTTCTATATTTGATAAGTTTTTAGTACTCATTTACCATTTTACTCTCACATCATTTCGTTGAATTGATGTGTGTTACCTCATTTCATTATTCATCGCCTACTTTATTATACTCATTTGGTTACTACACTTTTTAATTACTCAAGGACATTTTGGAAAAGTCAACTTTATTTCCTATTCGACCTAAAAACCCGTGAAATCGAACTAGGAACTTAATTTCGGATCCGAGGTATTACAAAACTTCCTTGACTTTGTTCACCTTTTCATACATAACTATTTATCCGGCCTTGTCTGATTCTAGCTAATTCTTCCAGACTTCTAACTAAATTTTGGTGCTTATAAATATTGCTTGAATTGTGAGATATCAAGAATTTAAATTAGCTGGAAGCTAGGATCAGGAATAAGCAAAAACACATTTATGTACCAATTGTGGACAAAGCATAGATATAAATTTAATTAATGTGAAAATGGTATAATAATACCTGATTTATAAGGTCAAAAGTAATATTAATTCATTTATATAAATAGTAAATATAGGTATAAAAAAGAGAGAATTCCCTAAACAGGAGTAAAAAAGTTTTGAAATTCCAAAATAGGAGTATCATGTTTTTTATTCCTTGAATAGGAGTAAATTTCTGCCAAGTTTGGCATTACTAGGCTTTAAAACATGACATTTTTTTCCAAACTTGGTAAATTACTCCTATTCAGAGAATAAAAAACATGATACTCCTATTTGGGAATTTCAAAACATTTTTACTCTTATTTAGAGCAATTTCATTATAAAAAATTACATACTGGGGTTTCCATAGCATTCTGGGCTCCCAAAATAGGTAGCTCTCGTGTGGATGGAATTTTCTAACTGCTCGCTACAACGTATGATGGGTAAAAGCACTATACTACACAGAATGCAGAATACTATAATCCCTAAACCCATTTCTTATACGTAGCAATAATCCAAATTAAATTAATATATGAAAATTAAGAGTAATTAAGAAAAAGGTGGCCGAAGATAGGGAAGAGATCGATGAGAAGAATAGCATATAATTGGGGCATATTTATAGTAATTATCGCATGTTTGGGAAGCAGCCACCTTGAGGGGCGATTGTAGTATGATTTCTAAATTGTTTATAATGCTCGTTATCTTTTTCATCCACTATGGAGATTTGTGGTTGGATCCATCGATTATCTTGATAAAACTAAATTCAAATTATGATGTTTTCATTGGGATTTTTTGTCTATATAATCTGGAATTTAGACCGTATGGTGATCCTGTTTTTAAGTTTATTGCCCGACTTTTTCATTAAGTACGCAATTTTTTACTTCACGCGCTTAATCAAAATAAGATTGGAGTTAGTTTTCTGAATGAATTGGATGAAGTTAGTGTAGAGGATCATTTTAGCTATTTTTCATACAACTTTTTCTTTATTTTATTAATAGAATATATTTTAATTTTTTTTATAATACAACAAATTCAACCAATTAAGTCGCTTCAACCAAAACATCATCAATTGAAGCAGATCTAGAATCGATCAATTGAAACAATTTGAGTGTTACCAAACAGGCTTCTAATTTAGTGTGATTTGTTTAGGATATATCTCATTTGGTATATTTGTTATTTTGTGTATTTAACTATATTATATGGTACGTAGTTCTAATTTGGTCTAACATGAAATTCAAATAATTCAAGTGATAACATTATATTCTTAGAATCCTCTCTGAGAAAAAGATGAAAAAGATTTGAGTGTGCAATTCAATGTGATTAACGTCTAAATTGATGTATGTGCACAGAGAGACATAGGTATTTTGTAAATAACTTTTTAGTTGTCTTTAACTATCTAAGCTTAGAGAAAGTTGATTTAACAACACTTCTAATAAAAGTTTCTAGTTCCAAAAATATTACCACTTTAACTGAGCGAGACGCTCTGCATCAACGGACGGCGCAACTAGGGTTTTAAACCCTCGTCTGCGGAAGTTTTGGGGTCGACGATTCCAATCGCTCGACGATTTTCAACGCAACCAAGTCGAAGAAACTATCCAGACTCGGTCATGGAGAAGGATTGTTCACAAACGTTCCAACAGGGACTGCAAGAGAAGGTCAACGAACTACTATGCCAATCAAAGGGAAGGTGAAAGGTCTAGGATCAGCAAAATTCAGGGTTTGTGGCGGTGATCTTTTGGGAGCGGACCAGATTAGGGGATTGAGTGGAAGGCTTTGCTTGAAGTGGCATGAAAAAATCCAGATTCAAATGTTGAAGAAAGAAGATGAAGGGTTGATGACCCGTCCACCTCCTGAACCGCCGCCATGGAGGATGACGCTTGAAGTATGGATTCGGTTGCTCCATAAGTTTATTTTATTTAATCCTGTTTTACTCTTTTTGAGTTATTTAATTATGAACCATGTTGGTATTGTTATTTCGAACACTAAGGGGGTAGGGTTTTTGCTTGGTTTATTTCATTAGATCGATAGGTTTCTGTTGGGAGGCAATCAGGTTGACTTAGCCGCTAATAGCCTCTTTGCTCTCACCGTTTCAGCGATTAGTCTCGCTCTATCCGGGGTGGACTATTCTATGTTTGATCATCACGTGAGGGGGTCGATGGGCTTTTGATTTTGTTTGGAGAAAAGGAAATGTAGGTCTTGGGACATGCTTGTTACTTTGGTTCGTTTGATTTTAAAATAAGTTATTTCCTTTCAAAAAAAACACTTCTAACATTCTTGGCTTAGGGGAAAAAGTTATGGAGAGGAACCTAGCAACCGTTTCCCCTATTTGTACGGGTTGAGATTTTCCGACGCCCCTCTCAATATGGGGTTGAAGCGACAGCTTATACTGATTTTAAGTGTTCTAATGTTTGGGATTGCAACTACATCGAAGGAGATAGCGTTGACGGATGAACGAGTTGCGGTTGGGAGGTTGTATTGGTGCTGGATCGTGAAGCTTTGCTCGGCTGCTCCGACGGTGGTGGAGTTGGTATTCACCCATATCGCACGAGCTCGTTCTCATCCGGAACCACCTCCATACCAGGAATAGTTTTGTAGAAAGATTTTATTTCATATCATTTTACCTTTACTAGTACTTGTTTCTGTTTTAGTTCAAGTAGATTTGGTTTGAATCTTTGGATTTTTGGAGATCTTTTGATAGGCAAGATTTCAGATCCGTTAATTTTAGCCTTAAATTTGCTCGTTTCAAGTTCAGCGAGTCGGGTTGTTTTGTATGAGGTGGTTGATTCTACTTCTACTCCAAGAGTTCACGATTGGATCTATAAATCTGTCTGAAGGTTGTCTTGTATGCGTTCTCGTTTTTAATATAAAGCCGCTCTTTTATGATAAAAACACTTCCATCTATTATTCCGTATATTATCTAATTCAATTATGAGTACTCCGTATAATTTTAACCTTTTTTATTAGACCGAGATTCTAATTTATAATCTTTATATTGAGAAGGCATTAAGGCAACATCGTTTGCATAAAGTTGTTATAAGAAATTGGCACAAAACCCGCACAGGTAGCTCAGTTGGTTGAGTGGTAAGAAATTTGGATCAAAGGATCAAGGTTCGATTCACACATCGATCGTGTGGAGGTTACAGCCTCTGAAATGGGTTGGACTTCTGATGCGCACGGGTATATTAACCTACTGTCGCTTCACTGACTGAGTTACCGTGATTTACATCATCCACGTGCCCCGTCGGGTCGGGGTGTGGGGCTTCGGGGTGGGAGATTCCACCTTTTAATTTGGATCAAAGAAATTGGCACAAATGTCATTTTTTAAAAATAGTGTAGTGCTAACAATTGTTGACTTCAGCGTTCTTATCAAACCACACTAGTGCATAGAAGAATACAAATTACAATACTCAACTCTAATGCTTTGAAACTTAGAAAGTTAGTGACGACTAAAAATAAGGTGATAGCCGATAGGCCTGAAACACGAAAAAACGCCAAACATCCATTAAATGGTTACTTTGACTGATTATTATTATGAGCACAAAAAACTAACTTCAAGGCTATTTTTTGTCTGAAATCAATTACTCTCTATTTTATTGTTGGCTAATGAAAATATCACTCCAGCAACTATTAGTGACTACAATTGCATTCAAATTAACATCGTAGTAACTAAAAGTAAATTACTATGATGTAAAATTTGAACACAATTGTAGTCACTAATAGTTATTAAGTCACATTTTGTCCATAACATTTTACTAATAATACTTATTAAACGAACTATATCCTTTATAGTATTTTAATATGCAATCGGTCATTGTAGCCAAAATATTACCAAACTCTTTCACTTTAACAATTTCAGTCAATTTAACCGTTATATATATATTATTTCATCATATTCATTTGTTGTAGCCGTTAACAACGTGTCTCCGGTTTTAATTTTAAAATAGATACAAATAGCATTTTTAAACAATTAATACAAATTGTAAAGAAAAAAACTGTTGCTAAAATTGGTCACTGTAAAACTAAAAACAAAAATATGTAGAGAAGTGATTTAAATTACTTTTTACTTTTACAAAAAATATGTAAAACAAATGCTCCATTTGTATTCAATGTTTGCCCGCAATTCTTTTCCTTTTGATCCCTACTTAAAAACAACACTTGTTCTTTTGAGTAATTTCTCATTTAAAATAAACTAACAATCCTTGGCATTTTATAATTCTTTCTTTTTAATACTTTTTCATATAGAAATTGCTCTAAATAGGAGCAAAAACGTTTTTGAAATTTCAAAATAGCAATATCATGTTTTTTATTTCTTGAATAAGAGTAATCTGCTAAGATTAAAAAAATGTCATGTTTAAAGCCTAGTAATGCCAAACTTGGTAGAAATTTACTCCTATTCAAGGAATAAAAAACACCATACTCTTATTTCGTAATTTCAAAACTTTTTTACTCCTATTTAGACACCTAACTCTCTTTTTCATATTATATCCTATTTTTATACTTTTTCCTTAATGTTCAACCTTCTAACTTGAATTCGAGTACTTTGATTTCTAATAAGTAGTTTTATTAATTACAGTGTTGGTCTATTTGATCTTATCTGTTCTAATAGATGGATGGTCAGTAGAGCTGATGTTCGGTTTAAACGCACTCAACTTTAAAATGTGTCGTTCAACGGTTGCCGACTATGAATCAGTTAACCCGGTTCAAAATATTACCAAGAACATGTTTAGTTCACGTGTTACTAAACGATGCTTATTAAGACTCACGTTAATAAATGGCGCATAAAATAAACAGTGTTGTAAGCTCATATTTACTTCAAAGGATTTAAAATATTGTTTAACATTAAAATGTCCAAAATAACCCTATACATATATAGACACAGAAACATTCATGAAAACAAGTATATAATATAGTATGTGGGGTGTTGGAACAAGAATTTGACGATTTATGTAGCATTAAAGAGGGTTGACCGCAGAAGTTAATGATACGTCCAATAGGCTTAGTGATGACTGTTATAACGGATTTGTATTTATTATTGTAATTAGTAACGTAATTAAAGTTGAAGGTTACTCGATTTGAGCTAGCCAGCATTAATGACGAGTTGTGAAACCGTCGGGTCGGAACAGCCGAACCGCCAGTAACGGACAATTGGCCAGTAATTACCCTTCCTATAAATAGGACATCCCCTCATTGTAATCCATAGCTTGTCAACTTCCTTATTATTCTTGTACGAAACTCATTCTTCATATAATTTTATTTTCTTATACTACGTATTAGTTTTAGCATATCAAAAAATTGCTTAAACAATTTGGCGCCCACCGTGGGGCATCGTGCAAGAGGAGGATCATTGAACATGGCCGGTGACAATCCTTTGTTGATGGAATTCCATGCGCAACTAGAGTCCACAAAGGAAGAGATCTGGTGAGAGGTGGCGGAACGAATGGCCCACCTTCAACGGGAGAATGATCTGCTCCGATTCCATGTCCAGTCAGCGGTGTCAATCACTTCTAATTCAAGAGATAACTCGAGCACCGACATCATATCCGTCGTCACGCGGTTGGAGTTGGGCTCCATTCCAGCGATGACAGAAT